CTGAATGTTCAAGAACACCCACAAATTCTGTAAAAATAGCTGGTAATTTATTTATTTGATTTAATTATGAGCCTAGCTTGTGATTTTGGGGTGGGGTGGAGCTGGAGTTAGTGATGCTGAAAAACCAATTTAGAGAAAATCCCAGGCGAGTCATCAGCTTTGGGGAGCAGGGGAGCTGCTTGGGCTCTTCCTTACAAAACGCAGAGCATTGCAGAACCCTCCAAGGGCTCTGAGACTTCTTGGGAGAGGAGGACCCCACTGGGGTAACCGTTCCTCCCCAGGGAGCTATAGGCCTTTGGCCCCGCAGTCCATGGATGAGGCTGGTGTTTCACGGCCATGGCCAGTATGTGTTAGAGGGACTGGCTCATCTCTTCCTGTTTACACACCTGTATTGACCAAGGGGAGATCTGTCGTGGTGAGCATTAGCTGCCCCTCGGCAGGTTATCCTTCCCATCCCCGTTGAGCTATGCTACGGGGTGACCCCCAGCACTGGTGAACGTGGCTATGGGACATGTTCTTGTCCCTTACATGAGGGTCCAGGTGGGCTTGGAGGCTGTGGTGTGCTCTGCCTCTGATGTACGTCACAAACCCAAACCCACAATCTTTGCTCTTTTAACTGGAGAGAAAAAAACCTTCCCGGTTACCAGAGTTCACCACCACGTTCAGTTCAAGCCTTTGAGCTATTTCTCTTCTCTTTCCTCCCTTCCAGTGCCTGCTTCTCCTCTCCAGCTGACAGCCTGGGACAGCCCCCCGAGATCAGCTGCTTGTGGAGCTCTCTCTGCCGAAAGCAGTCCTAAATGGTGTGGCCTTTGTTCCCCCCAGCTGTCGTATCCTCCGGGATCTGCAACAAGTCCTCCTTTTACAGACCCCATCTTGACAGTCCCCAATCTGATCTGACCACCTGGTTTGTTTTTGAATCGAGCACTTGAGTCATAACATTTCTGTTTATTTCCACAACTGTATTCCTTGCATAGGAAATGAGCCAAGATGGTCTAAAGAGGGGAGAGCGAAGCATGTCGTGGTTGTAATTGCTTTTGCTCTCCCAATATCAAATTTTACAGTATAATCAAAATCTTATTTTTGTACTACTGGACTCTGTTATTGACTTAATCTTCTTAAGTGCTCCTATTATTCCAGTGATTTCATCGTTGCATGTTGATTTTAATCTTTTGATCTCCATATTAGCTACTGCCTGCAACTAATTTGTTGCTCAGTGTTTTTCTTTGTTTTGACCTGTGAGGCATTTTCCTCATGGCACACAACTCTGCTGGCAGATTGCATATAATCTCTGCACTTTTTTTCTCCCATATTTTGCATAGTTACAACAAATGCAGATTTACAACTTGAAATGGAATATGTATCTTTTAGAAAGGCTGAGCAAAATATCACTTCAGCTTTAGCTCAAGAGCCTAAACGTGCTCGAATAAAGGAAATACCTCTTGAATACAGCTCACCGGGGAGAGGTGTCATGCAGGCTTTTTAGTCCAACAAGTTCAGAATGGGTGGCAACTGCAATAATTGTAACTTATATGCAGTCAGGGATCAAAGAGTTTCTGAAAACATTGCTAGACCTAAGATGAAGAAGGCTGGGTTTTTTGTGAATGGTTTAAGGGACTCTCCTAGCTGGACTCAGCTTGACGCAGCAGTGGCTCTGTTGAGTTGTGACACCATGGAGCAGGTTTTTGAACAAGCAGTGGTGACGGTGGTGGTACTGTGGAGTCGTGAACTTCACAGACAAAGTGCAGAGGTTGAAATATGGCTCAGCTGCGTTTTGGATGGCCATTAGACGACTACTTTTTCCCTTGGTAGTTGATGGTTTAACCTGTGCCGATTTATCAGGCGCTTTGTTTGCTTTAGCTTTTTCTTTTAAAGCTTAGAGAAGTAATTTTTGCCTTAGGTTTGCTGTGACTTTCTTAAAAAGAACACAGCCTGAACATTGACAAAATCATCTTTGCTTTGCTGCGTGCCTGTTTATGGTTCTGAACACAAATTGTTTTCTAATATTTTTGACGTTTTGGTCACTAGAGAGGCAGAAAAGCAATTTCTAAGATGCCCGTGGGCCAGGAGACATGCATTACAGCAGAGGGGAAAGAATCTGTTAGTTGCTGAAATATAAAACAAATTGGATGAACAGCTGCTGACACTTGTCAGTCAAATAGTTGATAGCATTTTCAGTCTCCATGCCACATGCTTTAAGTAAGTCTGTCAAAAAAAGGATATTTTCGCTGGACTTCCCTGTAAATATGAGAGAAGTTTTGGCCTGATCTATCATTTAAAATTTTGCTGGCAGAAGAATGAAATTTTCTTTTTCCCCAAAACTGATTGACATAACTGTACTGGCAGATTCTTCATCTAGGTGCAGTTGTACTGGCAGAAAGTCCTTTGACTGTTGGAGCTTGTTCCATCGCAGCAATGGGTTGAAGTGAAACCAGCAGCAGACCTTTGCATTCCCTGGCTGGGTTTGCCAGGGTGATCCCGTCTGTCAGCAAGCCCTTTTAGATGCTGCCTGAGGTGCAGCTTTGCTCTGCGGGAACCTGAGTCCTGTCCAAAGCGTAGTCCTTTAGCCAGGAGGGCTTTAAACTGGGATTTACATTTCTCAGACAAAAGCAAACCCTTTTGGATTCACCATTCCTGCAGGATTAACCCAAGGTGGCACTTCCTGCGCCTGGTACCATGGTGCAGCACTCATACAGGACAGGGTTGAGCTGCCGGCACCCACGTAACCATTTGCAAGGTTGAAGGCAGTGGAGATCAGGGTACGAAGTGCTCCTTTGCTCAGCCACAGGCTGCAGGCTCTGGAGTGGGAGGTTAAATTCTACTTTGCAGCATTGCTTATACATGAGCTCTTCTCCCCGCTCACGCTAAAGGATGTAACTTCAAGCTCATCATTTGGGTCCAGACTCCTTAAAAGAAGTAATCTGGCTAATGCTTCATTGTTTTGAATGTGTGGTCAAACCTGACGTATCCTCGGGGTTGTTGTGGAGCCTCTGAGGTGCTTTACTGGGGTTTGAGGAGACGCAAAAAGCTGTCATGGGCTATAGGGTCATTGCTAATGGCAGAGAAACTCAGACAAGGGTGTCCATCACCGCTGTTTAAGGGAGGCACCTATGTGTGTTAGTGATACACAGCCAAGGATCATCTCCTGAAGGCTGCGCCCACGCTCTTTCATTCAAAAAACTGAGCAGGGCTCACTATTTTGAAAGGTGGCAGGTGGAAGTGGGCTGTGTTTTTACCCAATAAATATTTCATGGTAAAAAAAAAAAAAAAAAGGGAGACATTTCCAGAGCAGAACCAATCTGTTTCTCCAGCTCTGCTCTGCCTGACTGGGAGCAGAGCTACAAATTTGGGCGTCCTCCAATGTTCTTTGCTACCAGCCTGGTGACCACCCCAGGGAAGGCTTTCCCAGTGCCTCCTCTTGGAGCTGCTGCCCTTCATATAAATATTTGGGACAGCTAAGGGAGAGGATGAAGAGGGCACGAGCACACGTATGCATCAGTATGTGTATGGCTCTCAAGTGGATCTCAGCGACCTAGAAAGAAGGGACCATGTGGTGCTTGCACTTTGTCCATTGCTTTATGTCTTGTGAGACTTATTTTGCCAGGCAAGTCCCGTGAGGGCTTGAGGCTGCGATTGAAGCCTCCAAGCATGATGAGTTTAAGATATAGACAGTTTTTGTATGCGTCCCAGTGACAGACCTGCAGAGGCACCTGAACTGGTTTTGGTAGACTCAGTATGACTTAAACACTCAACTGCTACCTCGGTTCCTCTGGGGATTTAGGACCAAGCACTTGCACAGCTGGAGGGTGGGTAGGAAGGAGGAGGAGCTTCCTGTGTTGGTGGCCACAAGGCCACGTTCCTGTCTAAGTTCTCAGAGGTGGCTTTTCCTGGCAACACTTCCCTCTATCAGCATCATGGAGCAAGACAAAAACCAAGGAGTGGTCTGCTGGGCTACAGTCAGGGTTCAAAACTTGCCTGTCCTAGTGCATCAAATGGCTTATCAACACGTAAATGGTGCTAAATATGCATGCCTGCCACCCACTCCTAAAGTAAAGACCCTGCTGATGTCCCCGTTCCAAGGGGGGGTAGCGTACGCAGGTCACCACGCGTAGGTGGGTGTTGAACATGTAGGGCCTGGCCATCCCGATGGGGCTGCAGAGCACCTCCAGAGCCAGGTGCTGAACTCTGCCACAGAGGGAAGGGACCCAAAAGTCCAGATGAATGTGCTCCAGGCTCCATAACTATCCCAGCCCCATTTGGGACTCAACACTCCCTTCGCAGGCTGTTCCCAGAGGTCCTCGCCTGCTCCCCTATGTCCAGGGAGTGTCTCATGGTTCTTGGGCACTGGAAGACGGTTTAGTTTAATGGTTCATTATGTCAGGTATGTTCATCCAGGTGGGACATTTTTCCAACATTTGTATCTCTTTTACTTGTGGGTGGTGAACATTCGTCCTCATGCCCTAGGGTGGCAACAGGTTGCTGTGCTTGGGGGTGAAGGACATCAGCTCTTCTGCTTCTGTTGCAAATGACTGAAACCTCGGCTAGCAGGAGTAATTTTCGGTTTGAATTGGCTGATGGGAGGGAGAGACTGCAAAACCTCGCAGAAAACTCCCAACCTAACATGCTTTCCATCAAACCAGCCTGCCTTTTAATTTCAGCTAGGGGTCTTGCCCCCTGCCATGTGTTTGCAAGTGCCCTGCAGGCTGCTGCAACTGGCTGCTTTGGGAGAAGTTAAAATACAAACTGAGGCCTTTTGGTGGAAGGTAAGTGTCAGGCAAGGCTGATGACTGCATAACAACGGGGGGGCTGTACCACAGCAGACCATCAATTAGGTGTCCAGAGACAAATCATAGGACGTAGAGTGCAGATAACGGTGGAAACCACTGCAGAGGTGATGGCAGAAATGCCCTTGGACCTGGGGAACAGACAGTGTGGTCCCACCCTGACCTTGGGGAGCAAATCAGGAAACCATCTTCTTAATTAATAAACTGTAAAAACACCCATGAGAAAAGAAAATGCCTTTATTCTGAGAGGTGGGGGCTCTTACATCTCAGCTTGTAATTTTTTTTTTTCTAAGGCAGACATAAAAAGACTCCATAATTTATTCTTAGGACATCTGAATAGTTATTTATTGAGAAGCCACAGTTCTCACACTTTTACAACTGTCGGCTTGTATAAGGCAAAAAAAGCAAGATGGATCACTATTTTACACAGAAAGTAAGAGCTCTGGAGGGGGAAACTGATGGACATGCAGTTACTGGTCAAAATGCAATGTACATGACATATATAAAAAACATTGTGAAACAGAGGAATTGTAAATTATGGTTACAATCTACTGAAATAAATATTCAATATATTATTATAAACACATTTGTATAGTCTAAGATTGTAAATAAAGTTGTCTTTGTACATACACGGTTATTTGAAATTTAAACAAAAATGTAACATTTAGAGGAGCAAACGTCAACATAAAACAACTGCTTTGGACTTGTAATGTGGCATGATATATCCATAATGATAGGATTAATCTGGTGTGGCAATTAGAATGACTAATCCTTTGGGATGTAGCCTCTATGGAGTTAACTGCATATTGAAAGGAAGAACCTGGTACATTAACAAGGATGCAGAATGATTCAAACGGCTGTCTGGGTTTGTTTGTTTTCTGGTTTTTAAATGAACAGAGAGAACAAAAAAATCATTTGTAATTGCCTCGTTCTTCTTTTAAAAACAAAGCTGTTTTTTCATTAATTTTAAGCAGTTGGCATCCACAGAAGAGAAACAAAGAAATGAAAGGACTCGATTCACTCATCTTCACAACAATTTACCATCAATGTATATACAGTACATTAATGAAGCATTGTTTAAACTTTAATTATAACAGGGACACACCTAGCATGTTTTCTATGTAGTTTTTTCCATTAACAGTATTAAACAATGGTGCTCCATATTGCTTATGAACATATAGATATGAAATTAGGAAACAGATGAATCAAAGAGAGGTGCTAATCTTATTACCACACAGCTAACATGGCATTTGTATTGGTAAACTTCTCATGGGCATTTAGAGCTGACATAAAAATTCCTAATGTGGCTAACTGAGTTACAGACGAGGTACATGCATGGATACCAGGCGACCCCCAGCCGGTCCTCTGGGCCAGCTTCCCTAGTCGTCCTCTTCATCTTCCTCATCGCTGTCCTTCATGGTGATCCCCTGGAGCCCTCCGCCTTCGCTGACCGACGCCGTGGCCTCCTCTACCGTCAGCCGGTTCCGAATGGTCTCGTAGGTTTTGCTGTTTAAGGTGGAGTCCAGCACGCCTTGCAATCGGAAATCCCGGTACGTTTTCTAAAGCGGGGAGAGGCACGAAGGAAGGAGGAGAGAGCACAGAGGTCAGGGCCGGCACCGGCTCCCCCGCTTCGCCACAGGAGCTAGCCCGTGCCCCCGTGCCCGCGGTTTGGGACCACTAATGGAAGAGGCTGCGACACCAGGGAAATCCCACCCCCGGGGATGTTTTGCATCGCGCCAGGCAGCACAGAGGCCGCAGGGGAGGGCATCTCTGCTGGCCACCGCTCTGCCGTGGGAGATGTCCCTTTAGGGTGCCTTGGGCAACAACTTAGGGCTCTGCGGCTCCGGCCCTGCCTTGGGGGCCTGCAGCGTGGCCGGGCCGTGTGGCTGCATGCAGGCTTCAAAGCAGGGACGTACTGGGGGCTGCTCAGGGCAGCTTTGCGTATGGTAGATTGGGGTCTAAAAAAGACATCGAGGCAACAGATAAGGGCTCTGCTCCAACTAACTTCCCTTGCTTCTGGATGCATTTGTCCTGCCTGTAATGTCAGTTATTTTTCTTCACGCAGCAAAACGCTTATCGCCCGTAACCACAGACGTGATTACACATTCCCGGAATGCTCCGTATTAAACAATCCTACCTACAGTATTGGGATTAAATAAACTAAATCCAGGATACCGGAGAAAATTGTTGATGTATAGACATAAGCACACGGCATGTGTTCCTTAAATCTCTCTTTCTTCACCTAATTCTGAAACTGGAGTTGTATTTCCATGGTTAACTATATTTTCCTTGTTACTACAATTAATATCTCTCATTTGAATTTACATCTAAAAACTTCTCGACTCTGTGAGATAAAACTCTGGCCTTGTAGTTCATTTAATTCTGCTCTGTGCTTTGCACGGAAACTATTTAATGTTTTCCTATTCAGAAAGTCCTTGGATTTCTTGTAGCTGCTTCTGAATGTAATATTGGTATAAATAAAGCACAAGGAAGAAAGCTTTCCTCAACTAGCTGACAAGCAGAAATAATTTGTCTGTGCCTGTTGTTTTCAGTTATGAAAAGCACATTTAATACATTTCAGTTTTAATTTATTCATGCCTTCAATGTGTTCACTGCACACAAGACCATAAACATTATAAAATACTAGACCAAAAAGCATTAGATAGAACCTAAAATGATCAAAAATATATTTACCCCCTTCTGTGATCTTATTATTTCATGTAAACCACTGTGATTTCACACTGAAATAATTATCATTAGTCCAAGGCACGCATGCACACACACACATATACACATACACGTGCACGCAAGGAAAAAAATGTTACTTTCAGGGTATGTTATCTGACCTTTGTGATCTCTTAGAGTTGATTATATACACCCATTGTAAAAGAAACCACTTCAATTAACTATGAGAACAATCCTCATTTTCATTCTGACAATAATCACAAGCCACAGCTGGGCTTAAATATTTCTAGTAAAACAGTGTTAAAACTTTTGGTTTGAGTTAACCCATTTTAACACTGGAGTTCGTTGGTGTGATCAACAACTTTGGCCACAAAAAGACTAATTTTGGTGCACTGACTGTACAGGTAGGGCCAAATAGCAATAGAGTTTCCCCTTTTTCATGCAAGCAGACACTTTGTTCTTTTTTGTACACCTGTATTTTGCATCTATATGCATTTCAAGTTCCTGTTTATCCTTCGCTACATGCCATACACACAAGTACCTTAAGTTTAAAGAATTTTAATGAACGGCTTCAGTTATTTACCCGTGACAGTTTGCCTAAGAGAACATGCTGCACACATGCAGGCATCCATACATGCTCCTTCCGACAGCAAGCTGGTATTGAAAACACATCGGATGATTACCTTTACTATCCTAATGAGAGTTTTCAGTTGGTAAATGTGAAGCTGCAGGTCCATGCGGTCTGTCAGCCAGGTGCAGACAACATTCATCGAGCTGGTGTACCATTGCTGCAAGAGAGACAGGACTTCTCCAGCAACCACGCTAGGGCTGCGTGCTGTGCCCCGACGAACGCAGGCTGCACCCAGCACACGCTCAGCACCAACCTTTCCCACTTGCCAGCCTGTTCATGGGGTACGACAGACTTAGAGGGGGAGACAGGCACCCTCCTCTACACAGAATTTCCATGCATGAGCTTTTGAATTTTCATAATAACAACAACAAACTTATTAGGAGGCGTGACGGCCACCAGCAATGCCACAAGGTTTTTGTAATCTGATTTTGCCATTGACGGGACTTGACAGCAGTGGTGTGTGTTTGGCCCAATCCGTTTTTTTTTATAACCCCTTCCCCCCGCCCCCTCCGACCCCGCAGCGAGAGCACAGTCCTGCCTTTAAGTGTGTGTCAGACCCACACTCAAGCTACTTACCGTCTTAAAAGTCAACCATAAAGAGCCATGGGGTGAGTCTGGTTCCCTGACTGCAAGCAGAGGGGAGGCTCGTGTGAGTAAGGATGCTGGTGTAAGCACCTACAGGCGCCTGCCCGGGAAATGCTTTGCTTTCACCTTCACAAATACAAAAGATGGAAAAGCAGCAAAGAAATGAGCTTGTTTCAAGCTGCTGAACTCACAGGGCCCCTCCAGGGCCTGAAATTTTGCTGCTTAGCTGTGACAAAAAGCTTGCAGCTGTGTGGCAGCAGCCTGCCAGCCCGGCAGTGCAGGAAGTCTCCGGTGGGCCGTGGATCAGTGCCCCGCTCACGCAGGGCTGACATTGCACGTCTGACGCCACACAGACAAGCAGCGAGCCCTCGAGAGGAGGAAAAGCAGGGGCTGTGGTGGCAGGGGTGGTGGTGGGGAATCACAAAACCTCCCCACGGAGCTCAGCACAACGGTTGATTACAAAGTGGTCTGCATACAGAAACCCATCACGCCTCTGTAATGCACAGTCACACCCTTCTCTCGCAATCTCTCTCACACACACGCATCTCAAAACCTACACTGCAGACCAGCTGCAATTAATGTAGAACCAGTTAAAGATAAAAAAAAAACAAACATCAGACCAGATTATAAAAACCCTGAGCGAGCACCATCCAGGTTAGTCTGAAATGCAGCTCCCTCCCAACTACCCTAAAACACTGCACGCAGGTATTATTGCCTCCCTTCACTGCACCTTTGGGTGGGGGGTCTCTGATGCAGAAACGTGCCCTCTTCCCTCTAGTTGCTGAAGCTGCCAGCCCAGCAGGTGACTGGAGACAACTGAATATTCTGTAATTGCAAAACTGAGGCTGACAACTTGTTACCCTTCACCCTTCAACACCGGCGGAGAGGCCAGCGCTGCCCGTGAGCACGGTGCGGACGGTGCTGTGAGATGCGTGGCTCCGACACCATACACTGTCACTGGGTAGGGCTTAGCTGGCAGCACCGGGGCCCGCAGACACTGCTGTCCTGGAGCACTCACAAACTGGCACAAGGTTCACCAAAACAAAGGAGTCCAAGCTAAACCAGCCCAGCACCACAAAAAATGCAGACTCAACACACATTATCGAACTATATGGTCATGCACCTGGGAGTGGATACCCTCCACCAGGAGCAGGCAGCAGAGGTTAGGTGTGATGCACGGGGAAGGGTTTCCCCTCGCCATGTCAATGAAGATGTTCCTGTACTTCTATTTCTATGCCACCTCTTAATAAAATGGAGGGAATAAAGGGATAGATGAGTCACCAAAGAAATGGCACATGGTGAGCTCTTGCTTGATGCTTAC